ATCAATTTGATTTTTAAAATACATAAATTAAAATTAACAGCGCGACTAGTAAATCTGTTAACATGAAACATATAAAATTAGGAAAATCAACGTTCCGTGTGGTTAAGGGGGCGCTTCCCATCTGGAAGCCGGGCGGGCGTGCGAGCTCAGCGCCAGCAGGCGGTGCCTCGCCCTCCCGCCTCCCTCCGTGGGGTTGGGGGTCCACCTGCATCGCTGGGCCTCCCCGCCCTCCCCCCTCCCTCCGTGGGGTTGGGGGTCCGCCCTGCATCGCGGGGCCTCCCCGCCTCCAGGAGCTACAGGCCGCGCCTCTGTCTTGCAGGAGCCCGGTCCTGGTTTTCCAGTGCAACCACCGCCACGTGATCTGCTTGGACTGCTTCCACCTGTACTGCGTGACCAGGCTCAACGACCGGCAGTTTGTCCACGACCCGCAGCTGGGCTACTCGCTGCCGTGTGTGGGTGAGTCTCGCGCGTCCCCGGGTGGAACGCCGGCTCGGAACAGCCGAGCTGCTGGCGGAAACCTGTCTCAGATGCACCCGGCCCCCAGCTGAGGGTTGGAGAGGGAAATGCCTATTTGATCACTGGGGGCAAGACACAGTGACGTTTGGATCACAACAAAATACAGACACCGCGGCGCGGGAGAGCTGTGTCCAACCAGAAAGCGCAAGGCCTGCCGCAGGCCTGGGCAGTGAAAGCGCGATGGTACTCAGCCCAGGCGCCTGCCGCCTGCTCCTGGGTCCCCCGCAGGTGTCAGAGTTCCTAGGGCAGTGATGACGAACCTATGACACGCGTGTCAGAGGTGACACGCGAACTCATTTTTTTGGTTGATTTTTCTTTGTTAAATGGCATTTAAATATATAAAATAAATATCAAAAATATAAGTCTTTGTTTTACTGTGGTTGCAAATATCAAAAAATTTCTATATGTGACACGGCACCAGAGTTAAGTTAGGGTTTTTCAAAATGCTGACACGCCGAGCTCAAAAGGTTCGCCATCACTGTCCTAGGCTGCTCCAGAGCAGCACCGCCCGGAATGGGAAGTCGTGCGCTTCATTTGCTAATCATTGGGAGCGCCTACACGTGTGCGAAACAACATATAAAGGGTGTCCCAAAATTCACGCAAGATCTGAATTTTGCGTGAGCATTAACAACAACAACAACAACAACAAAAAGCCTAATTTTACTTGGTTTATTGAATCAGATTCTAATATCTCTTGCCCTTTGATTATAATCCCTTCAATTTGATAAGCATTACCAAGGACCAATTATGGCCCAGGAGCAGGGACAATGAAGACCAATGAAGACCACGGCTTTGCATATGTGCCAGCAAAGCCGTGGAGGCCATTTACCCGATGTGCTATTCCATACATAACCCTATACTGTATACTTTATGAATCAATAAAAAATTTACAATTTTTAATTATAAACCTGTGTTTTCTATCAAAATTACTTCTTGCGTGAATTTTGGGACACCCTTTATTAAAAAAGGAATCAGAGAAGGATGAGATGGAGCTGAAATATTTAAGATTTGAAATATTTTTTAAATCTTTCAACATTTACAACATTGTACTTGCACTATATAATTATTATTATCTGTCTTTTTAATTGCGGTGAAGTTCATAGTACATACAGTTAACTGTTTTAAGGTGTGCAGTTCAGTGGCATGTTGTGCACTCACAATACAGGGACCACCCAGCTCCCTCTAGATTTAGAGCGATTTTATTACCCGAGAAAAAACAGCCCATGTCCATTCAGTAATCTCTTCCCGTCCCCCCTGACCCCCAGCTCATAGCAGCCACTGTGGTTTGTCTCTTTGTGTTTGTCCATTCTGGATACTTCGATGAAAGGGATCATACAACCCGTGACCCGTTGTGTCTGCCTTCTTTCACTTAGCGCAATGTTTTTGAAGTTCATCCGAGTAGTGCCATGTATCTTCGTTCCTTTTCATGGCTGAATCATATTCCATTATATGGATAGACCACAGTTTGTTTATCTATTCATTTGTCGATGGGCATTTGCATTGTTTCTACCTTTTGGCGATTATGAATAATGCTGGGTCGTATTGTAATTCTGCGTTTAACCTGTAGAAGGCCTATCAAAGGACTTTCCGTAGCTGAGGCACCATTTTGCAGTATCTGCAGCAACTTATAAGGGTTCTGTTTCCTCACATCCTCACCAACATGTGTTACTTTTCATTGTTGTTGTCCCAATGGCCGTCCTGATAGTGTGAAGTGGCATGTTGTTGTGGCTTTGATTTGCATTTCCTTCCTGACCACCCGTGTTGAATCTCTCTCATATGCTTGTTTGCCACTTGAATATCTATTTGGAGAAATGCCTGCTCAAGTCCTTTGTGCATTTTTAATGGGGTTGTTTGCCTTGCTGTTGAGTAGGAAGCATTCGTTACGTATTCTGGACACTAGACCTTGATCAGATATATGATTTCCAAACCTTCCTCCTATTCTGTTGGCTGGTGATAATGTCCCTTGATACACAAAAGTGTTTCATTTTGATAAAGTCCAGTTTCTCTTTTTTTTTCTGTTGCTGCTTGTGCTTTTGATGCCAAATGTAAGAACCCATTGCCAAATCCACGGTCATGAAAATAGACCCCATGGTTTCATTTGACAGCTTAGCCCTTGTATTTAGGTCACTGATTAGTCTGAGTTCATTTCTGTATGTGGAGTGAGGTAAGGGTCCACACCTCATTATGAGTTTGCTTTTACTGACTGCTGTGTGAGTAAATGCGCTTCATTGGTTCTGAGAATTGTGGCTGGAAACTGTGCGACACCTTGATTGATTGGTCAGACTGTAAGTTCGGTTTCTTTCAACACTTAGTTCTAATATTGACCAAAGCTGAACAGTGCACCTCAACAGTCTCTCAGAGACCCAGTGGAAGTAGCTACTTGCGTCATTGGCTTTGTAAATTATGACATTCATTTTTTAATTGCATCTGCCAATAATGCAGTGGTTTGTAAATTAGGATTTACATAATATATGTGTCAGTATATTGTTAAGGAAAACTTATTGAAAGGTACTGCACTTTCACATCTTTAACAAAAGGGTTCAAAAGTCACTGAAACATTTATTTGAAGTTTGGAAAATTCTGTTTCTGCTTTTAATTTTTTAATGAGATTTTAAAAAATGGATAAACCTTCTTCCTTCACAAAACCAAGTAACATGGAAACATTGGAAAATATCCATTTTCAGAATTTATCTTCATAGCCAAGCTACTTGTAAAAATCAGCTTCTCGTGTATTTTTAAATTTTAAACCTTTTTCATGATAGAAAATGTCAAACATATAAAGTAACCCACTTGGTCCACATGAACCAGGTTTTCTCATGCAGCAGCAAGTCCAGGCTTTCTCTGTGAGCCTTTCTCAATAGCCTGGAGTCGGCCCATTTCTAAGGCGCTGGCTCCTGTAATAGGACACGGGCGCAGCAGTGCCGTCTCGGTGCCAGTGGGCTCCCCGTAAACGTACCTGCCTCGTTACTGCTATTTAAGCATAATCTCCATGAAACCCCGCCTTCATTTTTTAAAATGCCACCTCCTGTTGAGAACTATCCTCCTTGACTCCTCTTTCCTTTAATGTTCGACAGCAATAAGCAGAAGGCCGCCTGTCTGCGTGTGTTGTTATTGGAAGAGGGTGTAGCAGGTGACCACAGGCCGGGCAGGGCGGACACAGCTGCCTGTTTCCGCCTGTGCAGCGACCCTCCCACACCGCGTACTTCATTCATTCCAGCACCACTTCACATCTTCACCAGGGTTTGCCTGTCCACAGCAGTCCCCCCGGACCCACGGCTTCACTCTCCGAGGTTTCACTTCTCCCCCGTTAACCACACTGAAAATATCCAGCGGGAAAATTCCAGAAATAAACAATTCAGACGCCTCCCGTTGGGCACCCTTCTGAGTAGCCACTTCGTGGCCGCCTATAGTGTCGCAGGGCTAGTGCTCAGGGCGCCCTGAACTTACTCCATACGGTCCCCAAAGAGCAGTGGGCTGGCAGGAGGCTGGCATTGGGATCTGCCAGGGGGCAGCCAGAAAGCACTTCCTTTAAGTGACAAGGCGAGTGCGGGACAATAGATGGTTTAAGAGGGAGGGAGGAGGGGGAGGGAGGGGCCTGCTTTATGAATTAAGCTCTAGCACAGGGGTGTCTGTGTAAGGAAAATCATTGTATACAGCGTTCAGTCCTACCCGCATCTCGGGCATCCACTGGGGGCGGGGCACATATCCCCCATGGATGGGACTGCCGTTTTCCCAAAGCACTTACTCAACAAAATACAGTTCCGCTCGTCCCCATATTGCTGTCAGGTACTAGCTCAGCCTTCTTATTTTTGCTGTGACTCACATGATGTTTTCCCGTCCTGTGTAAAAAGAGACTTTCCAGTGTTACCATAGAATGTTCTTATAGAAACAAACCGATTGTCTTGAGTTTGCTCAGCAGAGACCCTCTCCTCGTTTATCACTCGCTTGATTTCTAAACGTCTTGCTACATGTAATGGCTTCACTCCACACCTAGTTCATATCCCAGGGCCTATCACAGCCTCAGGGTGAGGCCCACCATCAGGGCCCACGGCGCCCCCTTCCTCGGCTGCCATCCTCCCTCCGGGCGGGCAGGCCTGCTTTATTAGCGCTCCCCTGAATTCATGGCTTCTTTGCAGGAACCTTGACTCTCCTGAAGTCACGTATGTGGTTTAACAGAGTTAGTTAAGTGAGAGAATGTAGCCACGCACAGGCAACCTCTGCCAAAGGGAGCTGACAGCGAGGGCCTCCCCTGAGCCCTTGTAGAGGGACGCCCACTGTCCCTCCAGGGTGTCCCCTGTCCGACGGTGACACGGGCATATGACATGCAGACCAAGGTCTGGGAGGGCCCAGTCCCAGCCTGTGCACTCTTAGTGGAGCTGAGTTTTTTCATATTTTAAATAATATCAGCCCTAAGAATACCTCCAATAAACCACTAAGCCTCCGGTGTGAATGTTTAGCACGTTGAGCACATATCCTGGGATGCACCCAGCGCATGGGGGAGCCAGGCTCAGGTCCCGACGCCGAGACGGAACACCCGGGTGGCACAGGGCCAGTGACTGGATGTGGGTGCACCTCGGTTTCACTTTAGGGTAAAACGGGGAGACACAGCAGCACCCCTTTCAGACGCCGTCATGGGGACGCGTGAAAATGAAACCAGAGAAGGTGCCTTTAGGCTACATGCTGCAGACACTCAAAATGAACATTTGCTTTTGTTATTTTGGTTGTTACCTAAGCCGTGTTCCCATGGACGGTACATATAATGTGTGTGCTTATGCGTGTATATGCGTAGAGGAACATGTATTTAGACATTCCCTAACTGTAGACAGGCATTTCCTGTAACTCAATGCATAAATCCACCAATTACCGGCACTATCCACTTATCCTCTATCTGCCATCTTTTCCCCTTGGTTTATTTAACTTTGCCCTGATTCATAGAGCGG